CTTATAGTCGTCATTTTAACATTCAAAGGCGCATAATTCTGGACACACTGGGATTTGAAGGCTAAAATTTCGACGTTGAGCTGTGAACAATATTAATGATTGGCTTAGCTAAAAAAAAAAAACTCTTTTCTGAGACTAAAGTATGATTGGTCTAAACATAGCGCATCTCTTTCCATCAGGTTTTTACCTAAATTCCACCAGCTTTGTCTGCTACATCTTAATTTGCAATTTGATAATTATTAACTTGTCTACTCTTTTTGAAGACAAATAATTGCCAGTGAAATGCTATTCCCTGTATCTGTAATATGATATTCCAAATTAACATTTTTTATAATTTAACGTGTAAATTTCGTGTAAAACACGAAAATGTATTATCAGCTACAAAAATTTCTCTGATGGCTGCTTTAATTTGAGGTGGAAAAGTACAAACTGTTTAAATTATCACAATTCGGATAAAATTCGATAGGAAAGCTGTAATAATATGTCCAGATTTGTATTCTACATTTATTCTGCAGTTAAGTATGAGATACAGACATTTGATGACATTTTTATACAATTCCATTTACATCCAATTTCTGTATCTCTGAATTTAAAAATCACGTGAATCTCATGGCAATTAGAGATAAAATTTAATCGATCTTATTACTCTAAATATGTCCTGCTTCTTGCAAATTTCCGATAGCGTGAATTTTAAAATATATTTAAAAATACTTCAAATCCACTAGATGTAGAAGACAAAACGAACATATCAAATAAACAATATTAGCTATCTCCAAAAATTGACGGGAAACCGAATCTCAAGAGTGTCATCAGGCGTCGTGGAAGTATGAGCATGACCTGCTACTTTGCTTACATAAGTCGAGCTGAAATGTAAGAAAGCTCTTAATGGATGAAGAAAGGAGAATCATCTGACTAATGACGTACCCTCGAAATTCTGGAATGAACTTCCATTTATGTTATGTTTCCCTTACTCATTCGGAGTTTGTTTAAGATGGAAAAAATATTACACAAGTGACTTGTTCATGTTCAAGCAAGATGGCATATCAAGATTAAATATTTTTTATCATTCTTTGTTCAATTATCATTTAAATATCACGAGGGTAATTGCTTTGCTCACAAACTCACAATATTATAAGAAACAACAAATAGAAAACTTGGAAAAAGTGTTGCTTCAACATTTACCGATTGAAAATCCGACAAATTTAAATAGTGGCAAACATCTCTTTCACACTTACAGAATCTCTCAAACAAATTTTCGAAAAGTTGCGATTAAACCAGGACCAGGCAACGATCAAATGAATCCATTTACATTACAGTCACATCAAGTGGTTTGGGAACGGTTCAATTGTAGTGTACAAATAGAAACCGTTAACAACACACCTTTGCACCGCTTTGGAATAAGTTGAAAATGGTCTTTTTAGTCATACGGATGTAATCAACAACCGAGGAAAAAGGTGAAGTTGACTTGAAGACATGAAGAGTGAAGGTTATTATTTACATTGAACAAATTTAATTGAGTCCATTATGAGAATTGGAAACAGTTCTTTGCTGTTTCCATTTCACCAAACTCGTCCGTTCTGTTCTGAGAACGCATCATCCTTTTCAAGATAAAAAAAAACATTCTTGTTATTTATTCCCCTTCAAAATAACGTCACTGTGACATAAAAGCAAACGAGAAAAAACATTTGTCTAATTCATGTCATAAAACCGAGAATTTTATTTATTGCTTGTCGACCCCAGATTAGAGTATGACAATCTTTCCTAAAACAGCTATCGCTAAAGCCGGAACAATATCTACCCAAGGGCTTTACAAACCATGAATATTTAAGTATTTAAAAGGTTAATAATTAAACTAGAGTTGGTAAAATACTCTTGTCTTCTCCCTAAGTATACACACTACTATTAATTGACACAAAGCTATTACTTATCAGGAAGTTCTCGGTCCCTGTACACAAATTACAAGGATAATATTTATTTTGTACAAGTTGGTTCCGGACTATAACTTAACAGTTTTAACATCAAGATAATTTTTTGTCGACCATTCGAATATCAGTTCGAATATGGATAGTTTTACCTTGAGACTGCAAGAAATCTAGAATCCAACTTCTTCGCATTCCAGAAACCAGGAACAACTGTCCTATCGCGGATTTAGATGGGCTTACGTAGATATTTATCTACTCAGTGCACGGCCTATGACGGCCACATATAACTCTAAGACATTTGAATTTTTCGTTTTACTGAAATATGCAATTACGAAATTCAGTATAATATTAATGTAATTTCGCTTTAGACAATACAGAGACATAGTATTATTTTACATCAGCTGAAAAAAATGTTCGTATCGAATGATGTACTGAAATATTTGACGTTTTTAAAATTATACAAAGATAGCTTGCCAGGCAAGGTAACATACACCTTTACCAGCTGTCTGAAATGATTAAGTCTTAAGCGACGTTATAATGAAATTTCGAATAGTCTCAAAAATATTTTTAAGTCAAAAGCAGTTCATCAAATTCAAATGAACAAGATCTCATCGACGTAAACACAACAACAATAACTCTGAAATCATTCATCCGATTATTACCAATTTCGGATCAATCAAATATATATTATACATGCTTAACAAGTTTCATCAAGATCGGGTAGAAACTGTAGTCTTTACCGTGCCTACATGCCAAACTTGACGCGTTTTTAATAAGTTCAGGGCAATTTACTTCGCAACCGTTCATGTGATTGTAAACAATTTAGAACTTGAATGATATGTAACATAAATACATTCCAAGTTTCATCAAGATCAGATAAAAACTTTAGTCAATCGTGCCTACAAGCCAAATTTGACGTGTCTTTACTAAGTCAAAGACAATAACTCTGAAACCGTTCATCCAATTGCTTGCAATTTCGAAATGAGATCTCATCAATATATACATTCATACCAAGTTTCATCATCGGATAAGATCTGTGGCATCTATCGTGTCTACAACAAATAATGTGGACAGACGGACAGACAGGGCGACGGCAATATGTCCACATTTTCATGTGGGCGTTTGAAAAGCGATAGTTATTATATTGAATACAGCCCCCGCCCCTCATGAATTAAAATCTTTGGGAAATGGAATATAACCATAATGACTCCACGATCCTAGACAGTTAATTTTCTTTTTTAGTAGAAATGGATCATTATATCAGCTCCGATACGACAGGAAATCGCAGTAAGGGATTTTGAGTGTATGGAACTATGCCTTTGCTAGTGCGCTTCGGCAACCTTTCCCTACATCTTATCTTCTATCAGTATTCGTATCACATGCAATATTTGTCTTACCTCTTCCATACGTCGGCTTCACGATTGATTACTAGTATTGGTCTTCTCAATTTAAAGCACGAATGAATGCGAGTTTTAAGACGATAGAAACCTCGACAAAAGATGATCATTTTGTCTCTAATTTTATGTAAGGAATATAACGTTATAATTACGTACAGTGCTGGTTATTCAAATAGAAAATGTGCTTATAAAAATACAAAACTTTTATCTCTTTTTACATCAAAAAGCAAGAAAGTGTAAGAAGAAAAAACATGAAAGTCGCATTATATCTTATGTCTAATTAAAATTCACAGACTAGACAAAAATTAATTTAGAAAGTGAAATTCTGGCGAAGAAGAATATGAAGTCGGCATACATATTGGATAATCAGCTAAAAAACTTAAATTGAATTTATAAGTGAAATTAACAGTGGTATTAGTTGGTAAATAAATATCATGCGAAATATAACCAAATGGGTTACTTGGGTTGTGTTTTTAATTCCTTCATTAAGGTAAGTACGTTGTATTATTCAGACCTATCACCTATCATTTCACATAGTGAAAATAAAATCGAAGTAACTTCTTGGCTAATTAAGACTTGCAATATCCTATAAGGCGCATAAGACAAAATACAACTAGGACAACGGCAGTGTCCGATATTTTTACGATTTTTAACTGTCACATCCTTGAACACAAGGAGCTTACTGAGTGCTTTTTCCATGTCAGTCTTACTAACATCATTTAACAGGTATATAAATACCAATGTATCATCTCTTCCTTATACTCCACCAGAGCCCAAAAACGTACGGAAGCGTGTAAGTTGCGAGCTACCCGTCGCAAATTGAATGAAGCAGTATTGACAAATCTTAAAAAGAATTGTTGATATATGAGGAGAAAACCGGTTGACCAACCTCATTAAATTATTATAAAATTCATACGGTAGTTTTATGCTGATCAGTTTTCGAAAAACTTTCGAGATTAAAATTTGTATCATGACACCATGAAGGCTTGTCATTACATAATTACTTACTATGAACCTGGGCTATGTAGTTATCGCAGCGTACTTTGTTAACGTATTTGCAAGCCCTCATTGGGAAACGTTTGTAGCATCTCGTAAAGGTTTGTCAGAAATTCAACCTGGTGTATGATGTATTCTTTACGTGTTACAGCACCTACATCTGTATAATGTGTTCTTTACGTGTTACAGCACCTGTATCTGTATGATTTGTCCTTTACATGTTACAGCACCTATATCTCTATAAGGGAATAATATCACAATGTGCATTATATGCATAACAATGCAATCCTAGATACCTTTGGCTTTGGTAGACGAACGTAGTACAGCATCCGATTGAAATAACCCAAACCTACCTGTGCTTTTGTAACATTGCTTAACCGCAATGTTACAACCTAAAATTCCAAGCATTGTGGCCAAATTGTTAAGCTTACATTGCCCTGTCAACATTAAAATTGACAATGTGTCTTAGATCTCGGGCCTTATACGACAGTTATCAAATAGTTTTTAAGCAAAAACAATAAACAGGATACTTAATAACATTACAGAGTATATTTCCGGAAATTTTTATGAACCTATCGTGATAGAAATAAGTATACAAAAAAATCTCTATCGCCCAACTCTACCCTGGACACTAATTTTAAAATATTACTACCGTTTTTAAACACTACAATATATTTCAGAACAAATGTCTTTCCTTTATCTGGACCATGTGTTATGCTGAGGACCCCATAACCGCTGCTCAAATTGTATTTAATTCCCTACAGAGTGCCGAAGATTTAAAGATTAAGACTGCCTCTTTCACAAGTTTACCAAATAGTTTCAAAACAGATGATATAAAAAATATGCAATCGTGATCAACGGCGATAAAAGCTTTCTTTAATCTTCTATTGATCAACAGTGTTATGCATTTAAACATTAATGTTTAACTGTTCATATTCGGAATATGTAACGTACTATATTCGTCTTTATAGCATGCAAGTTTTTGCCTCGGTATATCTTCAAGAATTTTGTTTTATGATATATTAAAATTACTATACATATATGTGGAAATATTTTCAAGATCAGGACTCTCTCAGTAAAAGATAATGAGCTGATCACAGAATCGGCACACATGCCCCTGCGTTCAGATTGTTGCGTTTTATGTCAAATATTGAAGTTTATCAAAAGGTTACTGTAATCAAGTCAAAGCACTTTTATGAAGACGGCTAACACAGAACGCAGGATCTGAATTTAGAGTAATAGAAAAGGAGTCGACCAGAAAACTGGTGATATGGAAAGTTGGCCACATTTTATAAAGTTTGAGTTGCTCAACCCTTCTCCAGTTTATACAAGAACAACCACCATCCTCTCCCAATCATCCCTGGCGAATAGACTATGTCAGAAGGCACCAATTAGTTTTTATTATTACTCCAAGTAAGGCACCTGAGAATTTAAAAAATGTATATTTTGTTTCAGATTGTGTGTTGTGCAGGGTACATCTAAATGGCAGAGTTCTGCTGGCCAGAATACATCCGAACTGTTAGATCGCTTACTTCAGGGTTATGACAAACGACTTCGACCAGGATTTGGAGGTAACGCTTTATAGTTTTAAGTATGCCTTTTTTCTGTTTAGAGGTAGAGTGGTGGATTGCAGTAGCTAATTGTAGAGTTTCGTTCCGAAACATTTTAGATGCATGTACCATTTATGAAAACCTCATAATAGATTTTTGATTCTCCCAGATACTCCTTTAGAAATTAATAGCCATCTGGAATCTCGATCGGTTGGTTAGTTTTTTTACTACAAACCCTCGATATTTTACTTTGGATCCTCTGAATGGGTGTTAGTCAATAGTTAGTTTGCTATGCACTTAAAGGCTTTGAGTTGGTATGAACAATATTCCTTATGGTGAATATTAAGTCCTATTGGTCTTACTGTATACAGTGTCTCGTTCCAATGGGCTTTCCCAGCTTCACGGAATTTCGCAGTTTCATCTTTTAGCAAATCAATTTCTTCGTGCTATGCGTTAGGATAATAACGTCTAGAAAATGGTCTTCAATGTTCAAATGATTAAATAATACCTTTTTACCTCTAAAAACTTTCAGCTACAATAAATGTTTTAATACACTATCTTATCTAAGGTATTTTAAAGTTCAGACAAAGTTAAGAGACCCTTGCTGCCTTTCAGAAAATATTTCATTTCTTCCCACTCTTTGAAATTTTATGAGGAACTTTATTAAGCCTTTCGTCTAGAAAAAGGTACTTTTGTCCTAGTCTTAATTGGGCATTAAATTGAAATAAAGAGAAAAGTAAAGGATATTATGGCACTATAGTCTGGGTAATTTAATTTCAAATGATTAGTATATTCTAGACTAATATTATCGTCAATGAATATTTGTCTTATTAATTTGATTAAATAGACTTTAAGTCATAGAAATGGCTAGAACTATAGACTCTGTGTAAACTTCACATTGAGTATTATCTGTTTAAATGTTGTACAAAATTTGTTTCATATTGCAATGTATGAACAGGCCAATGAATGTAATGAACTTGGAGAAGATACGTGAACAAAAATTAATTTTTTTCCTTATACACATATAATATGTCCCCATCTGCGTCGATTTTGCGGCTCAGACACCAGATTGACAAATGATATCCCACCTACTTTAACAAATGACTATCTCTTTCAAGGATTCAAAGGTTTCCACGAATCATTATAGACGGGTAACTTGGTTTAGAGAAATTCTAATTTTTCAACTGGTGTCTTATGTTTTTTGACATCCGAGAAAAAATAATCCAGAATCTGACGTCATTTTGGTCTGTTAGCGGATTTTAAAAAATAACGATAAGATTTGTCCATAATAAAGAAATATGCTGACTCTGTAACTCTTCCGTTGTTGTTTTTAATGCAGATTTCTTCAAATGTTGTATCGCATAACTGGTTTATTTTCATTTTTTAGCGAAGAATGATCCTCATATTTCAGATATCTCTTGTACAATGAAGTTGTTCAGTTGAATTGAAACTTATAAAATATACGAAGAGGACAAATTTAGATAAAAAAAAATACATACATTAGCATCGAATCTTACAAAAATTCATTAAAAAGGCTTGTGAAAAATCATTTTCATATTGTAGTGCCAAAACGTCTATCCTATACAACGTAAGAGTGGCTTCTATTCATCATTTCGCTTACTGGGATTAGTTTATTTTGCAGGTTTACCAACTCGTGTTAAAACCGATATTATGGTCAGAAGTATGGGTCCAATATCGGAAAAGAAGATGGTAATATAAATTGTTTTTAACATGTAATGATATTTAGATCAGTGTTTGGGTTGAGTGTCGGGAAACATTCACAGATGATAATTGTAGCTTATAAATTATATATGAGATCTCATTTCGTGTTCAAGATATGCAAGACTTTGGTAGTATTGTAGACGATGTAAATCATGCAAATAATAAAAGGCCATAATTTTTGAAGCTCATATGGATTCATTAGAACTAAAGATAACACTCATCTCGATAACGCTATTTGCCTTATGAACGGTTCTTCATGCTACATTGTATTTGTGTCATTGAAACTCCCAATTTTACACGTGAATGCCTATGTATAGAATTTTTCTATTTTTTTTTTTAACATTGCAATAGATTATAAGTAAGTAAAAGCGATTTGTGTCGATGTTGTTAAGTGTGCGGCAAAATATTTTGCTGTTTCGTCATTACGTTGGAAAATAAGTAGGCAAAGTATGCCAAGAAACAAATTACTCGTCACACTCGTTATTCTTGGTCATAAAAATGAAATTGTCGAAGTATTTGTGAACAGTTAACATAAAAAATGGCATCATCAAAACACAAGCATCCATGCTAAATTTGCGGCATATCTTTTCCTGTTCTGCCTGTTTTTTTTTCAGAATATTGATGTATGACCTTTAAAAATACAGTAATGATTTTAGTATTGACTTTATTCTCATTTCGTTTTTATATCCTTAATCGGGATAATGTAACGACTGACTTGTTGATCCTTTAAAAAGCTGGGATGTAAATATGACTTATTTCTCACGCAAACAACACATCAACACTATTTCGTCTAATCCTTTACGTCGTCATTAAAGCGGTGAACATAAAACACACATGCACTACGGACATCTTGATATCCTCACTAATTCAACGGAATCCTACACCATTGAACAGTTAGCTTTAAAGAGATTTATTTGTCTAAATATGTGCTTTTATCTGCTGATAGAGCTCAATTTGAGTTTTCTACGTACTGCGCCAATAGATATCACTTTCAGAGCGCTATGATCGATTAACTACGATAAGATTGCTGATAGCAGACTCAGTGCGCTAAGTTGAAGGAATACCAGTTGACGGATTTTATTTCTGAAAAGTACCATAGATAGACAATATAGAGTTCTATCGGCTGGTAGAAGTAAAGAATGTACCTACAAGACAGCAATTACTTTAAGCTAGCACCTTATGTGTCACAACACAATTTTCCCAAGTTAATGATGATAAATATTGCTGTGGTTCAGATCCTAAGTTCACTTCTTGTGCAATTATCGATGGAAGTGATGTGCTCAAGATGGAAACATGTATGACAGAATTAGTTTGAATCTCAGAATACAATCCTTTGTTGATTAAATAAGTTAATTTTAAACAATCATTTATTGGCACCTTTTTGGAAAATTGCCAGTCTCCAACCTAAAAGCTCATCAGTGAGAAAGATTTCCTCCAGATTTTATTTTTTGGGGGTCAATTTTAAAATCCCTTATTATAGTCGGATTTATATTTCATATTAAACTCAGTAAATCCCAGTCACAGGTGGAATAAACTACTTGTATTTTTCAGGCTTACTCTATGGACTGCTATTTTAGGCAGTATTGGACTGATCAGCGATTGTCTTTTAATGCTAGTGTTGAACCTATTGCCCAAGTTACACTGAATGTTAAGATGCTAAACAGAATATGGTTTCCAGACACGGTATTTTTAAATGGTGGTCATTCGTATGTTCATATGATAACATCACCTAATAAATTCGTTAGGCTGTCAGCAAACGGAAGTGTTTATTTATCACAAAGGTACGAACATATTTTATTTTTGTACGAAAATGTATCACAATGCTACTAACGAAAAATTATTTCCTATTCTTTTTATTACAATATCACAATTTCAATTTACTAAAATATTACAAATGTGCATTTTTATAATATTATATACGCACGAACATTTTTTATTTTCACCCTATTACAAATGTTTGACAATTCTCCTTTTTTCAATCAAATAAAAAATTAAATTTACTCATATTTATATAACATTTTCAGACTAACTATTAAAGCAACCTGTCCGATGCATTTAGAAAAATTTCCTATGGATTCTCAGAAATGTCCTTTATTTGTTGCAAGTTGTAAGTATATGTATATAAGATATGATTATTGCACCCGAAAAATATAAATTGACAGTCTGATATATGTATAGAGATCTTAAGGAAACTGTATAGCTCATGGTATAAATCTTGCAAGGTTTCTAATAGTAAGTTGAAGATTTGTTTAAGGATAATGTCAATACAATTCTAAATTGAGCTATTTTTGTCTTTCTGATGAGGTTTTGTAACTTTGTATTACAAATTCTTGCAGTTGCTTATGGTTCATCTGATGTATTTTATGAATGGAGGTATGGTGATTTAAAGGCGGTGTCTATAGCGGGCGGTATGACCATGTCACAATTTGATCTCATCAATATCGAGGCTGGTCATTTCATAGAAATTTTCAAGGGTGGTGAGTATGGATTCTTTATGAATTTACTATATACTGGATTCTTTATGAATTTACTATATACTTGATATAAGCTCAGGAGTTCAGTTTGGGTTCATGTAAATTAATTACAGTATTTGGTATAGAATAATAATTCTCCACGGATACCAGATATCTCTTTACGACTGAGATTCTTAGCTCGTTGCAGAGTCGATGTGTAAAAATTTGGATCAAGCGATCATTGATTTACATTTCACTAAAATGTGTCAAGTAATGTTGAACTATATTAGGTTTTATAAATTGGTTGCTTCCCTTTACTTGGGTGAGCGAGTCAGCTTTGGTGACCTGACTTATTTAAAACGGCATCCAAATATCACAAAAATATCTAAACATCATAGAGTTCAACAAAAACCCTGCCAAAAAAAAAAGAACAGTGAAAGCACTACCCCATTTCTCTTGTGTCCTCAGCTCCTAACTCTACCACAGATGCAGACAAATCGGAATATATTTGATTTTCTCCCGACAAGACACCAGGCCCATGGAACAACACCACAGCAGTGCTACCATGTTGTCACTCCAGTACCTCGTAACTGGCCCGAATAAGTTAAATCATGTACTTTAACAAACCAAACAGTACTCAGTAGTTCTTACAATAGATCTGATGCAATACACCAAAGACATCGACAGGATGTTGTTACAACTATGTTAAATAGTTTGAATTTAAAAGGATAGTTTTGGATTACTCTTATATAAAGCCTCCTTTTACTTTTCTTTCAGTTCCACATTCTATTGTGTCGGTTAATTTTCATCTACGAAGACACACTGGATATTTTCTTATTCAAGTCTATTTACCATGTTGTTTATTGGTTGTTTTATCTTGGGTATCTTTCTGGATTAACAGGGAGGCGGCTTCAGATAGAATTGCGCTAGGTAGGGCACTTTCTCTGAAGTTCCATTAATTTCCAATGATTTGCCAAATTATACAAAATTTATACTCTTTTCTGAACTACTTCATTCATTACTTGTAGTTATTTTTAATCCCGATTACACTTTTGATGAACATGGTAACGCTTTGTCCGACAAATATAAAACCAATCTATCGAATTAATTTGTTATGAATACAGATTATGTTAAATCTTGCGTAATTCCAGGCACAACGACGGTTTTAACCATGACATTTCTAGCATTGGACAGTCGAGATGATTTGCCTCGTGTGTCGTACAGTACAGCTTTGGACGTGTACGTTGCAATGTGTTTCTTGTTCGTGTTTGCATCAATAGTTCAATTTGCTGGCGTTCATCATTTTACAAAATATGGAATCGCGGAGAAACAAGAAGGCTATGCCTTGAGTGATGAAAGTGACGAAGAAGAGAAGGTACTCTAAATTTTATTATTACTTGTTTGTACCATTTATATCCTTAATGGCCCTACTTTGAGCAGAAATATTACCATTCCATTCCTTTATCAATTCAGCAAGTTCGCTGACGTGGAAGTAGTTGGTTAGATCTTGATAAAAAATACGGTTCGGTGTCTCATAAAATACTCTGGTTTTCTATTTCTAATCCCACGACCAGACCCTGGACTTCGTACAAAGCGTACCTCTATTTTGGATACTCTACGGACCAACACAAAAAATTACTATTTCTTATTCCAGATTGAACTTCAAAACAGCTACCAACAAAATCAGCATATAAGAAGAACTTCGTCTATTGTCAAACATGGATTTTGCCCGGTTTGTGTCCAGTGTTTAGGAAAATTTCTAAAGTGTTTAATGAACACAAGAAATAATAAGTTTAAAAGACACGTTCGAAATGCTCTTGGGTTAAACAGTGTCAGTAAAATAGACAAAGTTTCACGGATTTTATTTCCTGTGGCATTCACAACTTTAAATATCGTTTATTGGGTATCCTATTTGACCCATTAAGTTAAAGCAAAATAGATAGTCAAATTACACGATTTTATTCTTCAATCCTTCTTTAACTGTAATTATATTCTTTGAAGTATATTGTTACTGATGATAAAGGTTTGGTCAGGTAATAATTCTCGTAATGGATCCGCGACAGTCGACCGGATGAGCGAATATGAGATCTAGTGGTAACTCGAGGACGAGCAACTGCTTGCAATGTTTTTTTTTGCGGATTGATCAGTTGCCACCAGTAGTAAGGAGAAATGTTCTCACCTACCATTTAGGAAGTAAGCTTGATCATTCCCTCGCGGAAAATACTTATATAAGTTGTTAAAAAATTATTGAAATTATTTGCGTATATTCTTACTCATTAATTCATATCAAAATGTGCAATTGGTTGAATTGTGGGCTTTATTCTTTGTACTCTTTTGTGTAATTCGCGTTAGCGTCTGGAAAGCCTTTGTCTTTGTTTACAGTATTGAACTACTGGCACAACTGTCTACTAAATGTTTATGTGTCACAACTTATTGTATGTATAAGTAACCATTTTTGAATCGTTAAAATAATAGACGACCGCTTCAAAGTGAATTTGAATCACAATCCAGTGTTACGTTATAATATGTCCGGGCTTGGAAATTGACTTTTCACTTTCGTCCGAAAAGTGAAATTGGCAATTATTTTTGTGTGAAATTAATATCCGCATCTAAATAGTAATGGTGTATTCAGAATGATTTATCGTTGATGAAAATAACCAGCTTAGTCACGTATTATCAATTTGAAAGTTGCTCTGATAGATTTTTACTATGCCAGAATTGAAAACATTCCAGGTTGAAATACTGAGGGTGGGAAGTCAAGTGTGGTAAACCTACAAAACTGATCATTTGTAATCAACGCAAAAATATTCTAAAACTACCAGTACTATTTTGATGCTGATAGTCAAATTCAAATAGAAATAATCGGTAAAATTTGATTTACCGACCGACGAAGTTTGAATGCAATAATATAAGTATATGTTTTCTCCTCTATTCAATATCGAAATCATGAAAATAAAAATAACAAATACGTTCTGAATTTAATTACAACCTAAGCAAAAAATCCATATAAAAATAGAAAAAATGCTAGAAGTATAATAGCGTTTAAGTTCAGAACAAACCCCCATGGCTTTTCTATCTTCAAGGAGTATGGAGCTTGTACTAAATTTTTAACATCTATATCCTTTCCTTCGTTGATTTCAAATTCATCTAAAAGAAAAGAAAGATAAAAATACTACACGTCTTCGAAATAAATGCAACATCTGGAATGGACCATACCTGAATATTTATAAATAAATAATTATTCAAAGTCATCATTTCATTTCAACGCATTCAGTGTATAATTTTGAGATTAACTAAGCATTTTTCCAACGTATGATCCGGACACAGAGATACATCGTAAAAGAATTTTCTTCAACCAGGATATCCCCTGTCAGTGATCAAAGTCGGAGGAGCTGACATGGAAAATGCATCTCGTTGACTATATATACCGTCTACTTCAAAGCCCTCTCGATAAAAAATTGACAAGGAATAGACATATATAATGCTACCACTTTCCATGCAAATTATTCCTCTTTGCATACAGCATTGCCCACGTTTAGTAGCCGGATCGGGTCGCAAATACCAAGATAAGCATAAAATCTTACTTAAAAGAGATTTAGGTTTTGGACCATTTGTATTTTCTTCTTTTTCATCTTCCTCCATCATCTCTCTTACACTCCAATATGTTAGTCCCCGGATCTGAAACATTTGTATGCAGATACAGATAGTTGGTACGTGACATTGACATTATCTAGTCTTTTGGATAGGACGTAAAATTGTCTCTTGTGCATCCCACATGCATTAAGTAAAGATCTAAAGCTTTTTCATAAGTGTCAAGGAATCATGCTAATTCATTTTATATCAGTAACTTATCGTGGAACTACGTTGTGTATCAATATCTATTAAGAATTTAAAATCAATATATATCACGATGTGGAGGTATACGGAATAGGACGCCTTTTGGTACACTAAAGAAGACATAAAAATCGAGATGTACTCACTTCACTTTTCGGCTGTGCTTCAGTACAATAGCTAACAATTAATGTAACTATACAGGTTATGACTATAATGAGACCAGAAAAATAAGTGAAATGAACTTTAGACACGATGATAGGTCGAGTATCTTCTTTACCACAACCCGGTGATGGATACACGAAATCTAAGATCAAACGTATAATCCCTGCCACTTGACCGCTTAATGTACCCCAAAAAGCACCCTGAAATTGAAAGCATTAATCATCAAACACAGAGGATATCTATGGACCATTGAACAGTTTCCAAAATTAGATCGTCTGATTTGGAAAAGCATTCGAAACACGTGGAGATAGACTCGGTCCATTTGATATACTTCCTATTATAGAATATTACCTTGTGCATATGCATAGTCTTATACCGGATACTTAAACCCCATTTTCAACACTATTCTTACTGATGGGGTGGATTGTTGATGTCCGCAGGATGAGCAGCCAGAGCTCTTACTAATATGTATGCATTATAGTTTTATCTGTTGCATTGCATTTTCTCGAGCGTTACATGAAAAAATTCCATTCGTAAAATGTGACTTGAGAAATATACATACTGCTTCATTAACCCTTGGAACAAAAATAGCTAATGTAAATATAGCACATATAGGTGGAGCGATGTATCCAGTTACTGCTTGAATATATATAAACAGTTGTCCCTCTTCGTAGCCCATTATCAAAGGAATCCATCCCAAACTAACACAAACTAGAACAATTACGGCGATCCTGGAAGAATAGAACCCAGTATTATATATGGCATGAGGCCCTCATTCAATGGGTGGATGTTGATTGGGAAATCTGTATTTCTATATCTTGCTCTGGGCTTCAGACCAAAGAACCTTCAAAGAGGCATTCCAATCTGTTCATGAGTATCATGAACTATCAAAACGACGGAAAATATTAAAAGACAATACCATACTAGATGTGTCCGGATCCGTACATCGCCTATGAGCGTCTTTTATTATTTCGCACATTAACAGTGCATTTGCGGTAGTATAGTCCTAATCTCGTCCGATTTACTAATTAAATATTAATTAAGGGAACAGCGTTTGGATTATTTTAAGAACATAAGAACTTCCTTGACCTAAACCGTTACTAACCTGCCTGCCAGTAAAAGTTGTTTCTCAGACGATCTCGGCTTGATTCTTCTCCAGATATCCATTGTGAAAACTGTTGCTGCACTGTTGAAAATAGATGTGAGGGAACTCATTAATGCTGCTACCATGACAGCCATAAGTAGTCCTCTCAGCCCTGTAATCAGAAGAAGGACTAAAGCTGGTTGATAGATCAGCAGAAGTTGATATCGCAGACTAAAAAGAAATTACTTGTTCGACAATATTATACACGCCCGGTATTGCTATAATAATTAATGAAAACGTATCATTCGACACTCTGATCTTTCCGAGTGTTATGTACATTCTTCAAAACAGATTCTATTATTACTATAGACGCCCCGGAAATATCGTCACTGAACTGATACGTAGAGCTCAAATTCCGTTTACATGTTCAAAAATATATGGCAACTATGTTATCTCAGAATTTTCTTTGAGTGCCAATGAGCAACATCTAGTCAAAATAGTACAGCAACTGTTCAATCATTTCTTACCTATAGGTGCCAATTCGAGCACAAGGGTTGGGTAAGCTATATTAGAACAACCTGCTGGATTACCACACACTTGTTCACATGTATCACGATCAGCACATGCAACCTGTTCTAAAAATAGCAACAAAAAAGGGAATATACTTTGCTTTGTTTCTTCAGAGAAAATGACTTTATATGGGAAGTTAGGACTTCTAGCTATTACTTGTTGATCAGTTTATCTTTAGTTTTCCTCATACATAATTTACATGATATACATTTACATAGTTCAGAATCAAAATGTCAGCAGTGGTTCGAAAATCTTCGAGAGAATAAATTCCAGCTGAATATTCATTATAATACACTGATTAATTAAATGGACTTATGGACTAAATCACTCGGATACACATTCCTCATCAGAACACTTAAGTTTTGAAGTCAGAATTATATTTCCAGTATTGGACTGAATGCAAATTGTCAAAGTGAGCGAACCAATGATAGCCAGGTCAAGAGCAGAACGTTTGGATTAGATATGGAATATAATGAAACTGAAATGTATTGGATACCTACCTGGATATAGCACTCTGCTGATCATTCCGGGAAATATAATAATAAATAACGGCAGAAATTTCAAATATCCAGTTAAAATGGTTGCCGCCTTGGCGTTAGCCATATTCTTTGCTGCCAGTGCTCTTTGGACCATGACCTAGAAAAGAGACAACAATTGATATACGTTATTTGTCATATTTTCAAAAATCAATTATGGAGGCAAACAAGCCAAATTTCTTCTGATGTCCTTGGCATATATGTAAATGTTTCCATCGACTAATTCGACGAAAATATTTTAAGGCCACAGACAGTTTTACATCAACATATGACATCAAAAGGATATTGTTGAAAGTTTCCATGAAAATACAAAACCTTGAATGCCAAATAAATGCCTTGTAGCGATAAAATTACATAATGAGGTATACTAGTAAATGTCATTGATATACAAAGGTTAGGTCTATTACATACATTTAGTTAACGCATGCTAAGGTATCGACATTTTGCGAGGTGAGATGGTAGTATGTATGTTTCATCTTTCTGAAATAGTGGCATATTGAGTGGCGATATTTTACAAAATTTCACATAATATTCCAAGCTTTGATGGCATCAAAGAAACTCGAATCAATCGCTGGATTTATGAAAATCGCAGTTACCCATTCCCTACATCATTGACCAATTCTAACCTGATCAGCACACCAGTTCCAAAGTGAAGCAAATGTTGACCTTATAATGATACCAGGCCAAGGAAGATCTGAATTGACGGGATCACGAAATATATGGAAGGCATCTTCTCGAGGTAGTCCACACGTATTGTTTATAGTTCCATTGCGAACTGCTTCGGGGACAGCGTCAAAATATTTGTAATATAATTCTGGAAGGCCACCAACTTTTATAAAAGCTACAAAGGAAATTACATTATGAATTTACCTCACCCATCAAAATCCTCAGAATACAATATAATATACTAAGCATTTACGTGATAAAAACATTTTTTTTATGTCGACCTCATCATCCTGACCCTTGCTTTGATCACGAAAAAGAGCTCATTTTGACATGGTCGATGACCTCATCAAAATCAAAGGACAAATCTTGCTTCTATCGTGCTAACAAGAACTGCTGTCGTTGGACCAGCTGGAGCAAAGTTAACATACGTCAACAAAGAAATACATGTGTCTAAATTGAAATTTGTTCACAATAAAATATTAATGCGGTGCCGACACATTTCAGATAATTATGTATATAAGATAAAGCCTACAAAAAATAAATAATTTACCTAAAACCGTTAAAATAATTGATCCTATTAACATAATTACAGTTTGTAAAGTATCTGTAAAAACCACAGCTGCCAAACCTCCTGCAAAATTTTTTTAAAAACTTTATAGCAGTGGGGAGTTATCCGAATTCAAGATATATGTAGGATATCTGTGGGTCATGATTTTTTTTTATTCAGGACCAAAGCTTAATAATGGTGTAAATCATCATTCAATGAAATAAATGATTTACTTCTTATCTCTGCACTATTCTGAGCTAATCAAAACGAGTGAAAGATCAAGAAATTGTAAAGAAGTAGAAAAATAATTCACGATTTCAATTGAAAATTTTCGTCATAAGCATCCATGAGAGCATCTAATTGACTACGATTTTACTTGATTACGGTAGTAATTAACGAATTTGTAATGATTTTAAAGAAAAGGCAGAAGAGATCTGCGCTCTACTTTTCTGCACAATATGTAGGAAAGGGATCAAGTTATTTTTCTACGCCTTCCCGTCCGACCTGTATCACTGACAAGAGGAAATTCGCGTCTCTTTTTTGACACAGATTTTGGTCTAAAGTAGATAAAATAAACACTGAAACTAAATTAAGTTGTCTTAATTAAAAAACCCACGTTTGTCACAAACTACACTAATATCAGTACAAGAATATCTAATGGAGACTTCACCTAAGGGGTTTGTTTTAAAGCCATGGCCTTCTAATATATAAGTGTTTGACGCCACTAGACACCACGTCAACATTTACAAAGTATACTCCATATCAATAGTTATCAACGAAATATAATCACCGAAACTGAGTTTAACTTCCTACTTTTTCGTACCATATTTTGTTCAAGAAATGGAATAACATTTTATGGATCACTGGCGGCACCAGCTCCCCGAAACTGAGAAGGTGTCCGAGAAGGTTCCCCCCAATAAAAGTTCGAAAAAATTGAATAGATGGGGAACATTCTAACGTTCATTTTGGGCAAAAACGTATACAAATCATAAAGTGAAGATGCAATTGGTTGTGCAAACCATTTTTCTAGGGAAGCAAATGCACCCCCTCCGCCTGTCTCACTTGTCAGTATGAAGGCGATGACATAAAAACTCATACCTCCATACGTAATGCAATTTATGGAAATCAAAATAATTTGATGATATATACATTGGATACAAATGACAAGCAAAGACTAACTCCATCGTTTTTGAAAGGTTTATTATAAGAACTGAGTTGTATTCAGTGTGATAGAACAAAAACTCCCGAATAAACACCATTGTTTAATTAGCTTGAGCGTGAGTTGAAATCAGATAAGATACAGCTCACTGCGTGTAACAAGTTCTTTAGTGTATATCTTAAGCGGTGATTACACGGAAGGATTTGTCCTTTAGGATAAATCCTATGGATATGCCTAAAAAAATAAATCCGTAGAACACATCCTATAGGTCATCTAATCACGTGACCACTGAAGCAGAAGTAAAATGAAGGGAGCTTATGAAGTTGGAAGTGATACGGAGGATGAAATAACAATTGTTTGTACGCTCATTATTAACGAGAATGACAAAAGGAAAAACAGAGACGACCTCGTTCTTGCTGGATACGCAGGCGAGTATGGTGCATATCATTCGTTAGTGGACGAACTGAAGCAGCAAGACTAAGGCCTTAAAGAATTTCTTGCGAATGGATTGGGCTTCATTTCAAGAGCTACTAGGACTTTTGGACCCTGTTATCAGACGAAATGATACCAACATGAGAGAATGTATAATATCTGATCTGGGGAATGACTGGCAGTAACATAAAGATTTTTAGCGACAGGTTAGTTCCCCTGCGAGTTTATGTAAGCTATTCAAATATTCTGCTATGTTCAGCACATAGGTGCATATGTGACTTGTGCATGTATAAATGTGAACATTTATGCCAACAGGACAAAGTTGAACATATTGTGCTGAATATCATGGCAATAAATACTTCCGTTTCTGTCTATATTGCCCTGTATGCTCTCAGCAAACTGAATTGGTGAATTATTTTCTTGGTAGGAGACAGTTACCAATCCTTAGAATATCTGTACAGAGTTTCCAAGAACACAATCAGTAAAATTATTCCAGAGACGTGCAAGGCCATACATGATGTTCTACAACCACAGTATTTGAGGGTATGTAAAACAGTGATCATATCATTTCTATAATTTGTTTACATTATTATGCACAATCGTGCATCATGAATATTGATGTAGTAATCTTAATGATACAAACAACTTTATATATAACGAATATAAATAATAACATACAACATGATTACAAAGGATGTAATTAAATAAATATAGAAACTAACATAAATAGACAAAGTATTTGAATTCAAAACTTATTAATATATAAAAATATATTATATACATTATGACTTTAACTCCTCGTCGTCATCCATCTGGTCAAACAGAGCTCTTTGTACAAGCTGATGAATATCCATCTCGAGCTAAGCGCGTTTTTGTTTATTTTTTATTTCGCTTATTTTTTCGGCTAAAAATGTTACAAAACCTTTCTTTTCTCCCCGATAAACTTTTTAAATAATTTACGGCTGTGGAGATAATGTCACTTTCTTTGCGTTTACTTCTGGGTTGTTTGGCGGAACCGGTACATGCTTGGCTGACAGACGTGCTACAGATCTCGATACCGATCTGTCATCACCATCCTCTTGTTGGGATACATTTGAAGAACATTGGTGTATCAGTCTGGTGATATTGTCGAATAACTCCTCAGCATGAACCTGTAATAATATTCAATTTAATAAGTTGTTAATTTATATTGTATATTATATATTTAGTAGTCTTTTGTAACGCAGAGGTTTAAGGACAGGTGGGACTTTCCAAACTGCATCGGAGCTCTTGATGGGAAACACATTGCTTTGAGAAAGCCAAGACATACAGGATCTGAATTTTATAATTACAAGGGATTGTAGTATTGTAATTGTAGTTTTGGTTGATGCCGATTACAAATTTGTTTATGTCGATATTGGCACAACTGGAAGAATGGGTGATGCTGGAATTTTTGCAAATAGCACCTTATCGTTGGCACTGGATGCAAATTCTTTAAACCTCCCACAACCACAACCGTTGCCAGACAGCCATTTGCCAGTACCGTGTGTAATTGTTTGGGATGAAGCATTTCCTCTGAAGTGCAACTTGATGAAACCTTTTCCATCAAGAAGTCTCACTGTTGAGAAGTAGGTCAAGACGTATATCTGAAAATGCTTTTGGCATTATATCGTCCCGTTTCGGGTGCTTCAAAAATCAATGGTGCTTGAACCTAATAAGCAGAGAATGTTGTACAAGCTATTGTTGCACTTCACAATTTCCTTAGGTGTAAATCTGATAAAAATGTACATTTGCCAAGAAAGCGGCGATGAGGATTCTGATTTTCTAGGGACTGTAATCACACAGGAAAACATCCAAATCATTAAAATATGCCCATGACGATACGTACACAGAACCAGCTTACTGACTACTCTGAACCTTCTTGACTTTAGCAAGTTCTTTGTTGTAGTAAGTTCTCAGTAAACTGACTTGCTGCTCTGGAAAAGAAATATCGATAATATAATATAGTATATTAAATACTTTTAAAAATTAATGTATTTACCTCATTCAGACAGACACTCGTGTTTTCCTTGAGTACAATAACATAAGTAATTAATTTATTCTTAATTATGTAGTAGGATAAATATGATAAAAATCAGTCACTTGATGATTGTTAATTTGAGCTTTTTAAAATTTTCACAGGTCTCTGTGTTTACAATCATATCCCATGACCTATTAACACACTGGTCACAAGGTCATAATAACGACCCATCACAGCCATATTTCCCGAGTACCTGATGACCGACGAGTCCATTTTTAATTGTATTGTTTCCGTGGGCGAAGTTTGTCGTCTTCCCGTAGCGGCGTAGGACAGGCAACTATTATCTTTAAAATGAAAATGAGATTGAAGAATTTGCGAAATAATAATATGAGAGAATAGGCCTAGTACATGTGGGACACGGGAATTTAGTGTAATAACGTTATAACCCTTACACTTGGGCTAGATCTTTCCACGAACTGGGCTAGCCTAGCACTTTACGATGCCTCACCTGTCCAATTTTTGCCAAGTCTGTCGGCTATCAGTTTCAGTGCAGTTTGTCTTTTATCCTTTTTGTGATAATCAGCAGAAGAAATACACCACAAAAAAAGCTCGATAAAGGATTCGGTGTCGCCGAATCGAGATAGGTCAAGCGCGCTCGAATTTGATTGGTCAGTTCTTAGGATAAATCCTACAGGAATAGAACTAGTTCTATCCCGTAAGATTTATCCTAAAGTACGAAATCATATGACCTATAGGATAAGTTATTCCGTTCACATGGGAGGATTTAACCTATAGATATAAATCCTCAGGATAAATCCTTCCGTGTAATCACCGCTTAGGCTCCACAGTACCATTCGCTGGAGAAAATGGTTACTTTAAGGTTTGTTGTTCTCATGATACAATAATATTTAACTTCAATGTCATTTTACATGGAAAAATTCTTTTTTGAAGTTTGATAGTTTGGGTTGTTATTTATTGAAGGAATTCACTCTCATACAAATACAATTTATTCTGAAATCTGAAGAACATCAGTGGATTAAATAGAATGTAAACACAGCCATTCTCTTACTCAGATCTGACATAACAGGGTTCGGTTACAAGGTAAAGCAGAGGTTTCATTAGAATCCGCCAGTCAGCACAAAGCGATTCCTATTTAGTTTCATATATCTGTTCGAACATTATCGGCTGTAAATTATGGAAATCGAAAGAGGCAACGTGAATTTGGTAAAGTGACTATTCGTTGCTACCAAACAGACCTTTGACGTATATAGTTATATACAATCATACTTAAGGTAGTGCTTCAATATTTCACTGATGCCAAAACACAAGAATATTTGATCATATATATATATATATATATGATCAAATATTCTTGTGTTTTGGCATCAGTGATATATATATATGATCAAATATTCTTGTGTTTTGGCATCAGTGAAATATTTAATGTATATATATATATATATATATATATATTCATTATAAATCAACAACCATATCAATACACCACACTTTGTCATAAAAATTCAACTTCAACTTTAGGGTTCGGTTAAATATGTGAAGCTAAGTGGTTAAAGTGGTCTGATAAAAGGCTCTGAAAGGTCTTAATGTTTAGAAATATATGGGTTTTCGCTTGGTTGGCAAACATTTTGTCGGATTGAATATGACTAAGGCCTCGTCTTACAATGATATGATGTTTAGATATGAGCGTTTTGCTCACGTGAACCTATGACATGCAAATGCTTACCAGCGATGGTGTAAATGGCTGTTATCACTAACAGCGGTATAACAGATAAGTAGAGATTTATTCCCAGAGCCTGTTGAATAAACACTGCACCCGCATAAATATCTACCTGAAAAGTTCAATATATTCAACACTGTTTCCAATTCGGCCGGATAATCAGAGGTTACATGTGCTAGGTTTACGAGACGTATAAAGGAGGGGGTCTCAAGATGAATTTGAGACTGGAAAATTCTTAGAGCACAGGCTTTAGCAATATTCTTGGTGACATCTAAGCGAATCAGTTACTGTGAATAAAATTAAGTGTTGCATCCTACACGTATGCAAAAATTCGGCTAATCGTCCATTATCTAATAGAAATTCTGTCAAAAGAGGTACATATTTCTGGTATTTTCAATTTTTAATCTGTCTACAGACTGCAGCATACTGGTCACTGCTGGTTGCCTCTTCTAGATGTTTTAGCAGTCCCTCCGACCTGCATCAGTGAAACCGGTTCAAAAGTTTCGAAGAGTACGTCGTGCTTTTGAGATTACGTTGCGTTGATAAGTGCCTACGGCTAATGAAGTGAAAAATTTGCTGGTGACCACCCCGTGCATTTCCAGCTATCAGTGGATATTTAACGTGTTAAAAGGTACCGTTGTTATTTTTAATATTTATGCATATCATCCTTACCGATATTTTTGATAATATGTATAACATAAGAGCCACCAAACTGAGATACGTTCTCATTCTGTTTCCACCAAATCTTCTACCTAAATACTCTGGCATAGTATACACCTAAATGTAAAGTGTACTTTTCTTTAGGGAGGGATTGACTTCCTATTCGTTCAGACCACCAGCAACCCAATGTTTTGTGAGTTCAGATATTTTGTATCCAGAATTAAGAAGTGTATTACATCATTTATATCAATGCAAAGCAAACAAAAGCAACAAACTGAACTTACACCCGATTTGAGATATATCGGTAAGAATACCCATCCAAGTAACAATAGTAATAATACAGCCTGAAATAAAAACCCAAAAAGACGTGAATTATTGATCCAATGAAACCATTTCGCAAAAAAAGAGAGGGAGAGGCAAATATGGAAGAGATCGTGAAACTAATGATCACAATTTTATTTCAAGGCAATGACAAGCGTTAGACGTAACTTCATATCTAATAATAATCAAATATTGCTTATAGCCTTGCAATCTCTCTTGAAAAATATAATCAATGAATAAGTGGAGATTAAGGTTCAAAGTAAGGCGGTAATATCGATCACCAATACAATTGGACAATTTCAAGTTTATACTCCAAAATAGCTAACAAGCAAATTACATACAAATTAAAAGTGGTGAAAAAACGTGTCTTTAAGAGATAAAAGTAATACATACGCCCCATTCGAAAGCCACAACAGCTATCCCAGATGCTGCACCACTTCCAGCGAGGCCAATGAAATGTTCACTACCAATATTGCTGGCAAACATTGATGCCCCGATCTACGAAACGGATAAAAAAAAGTTTACAATGAGCAGTGTAAACCATGCTGTTTGGGCTGGTGGCTTAAAAATGAGTGGCGGTTTCACAACAGCATTCAATTCACATAAACAGATATTCGCCACAATTTAACCGGTTTTTTTGGCTTATTGTAATTAGTAGATTCCATATCATTTGGTTACTGTAATTAGTAGATTCCATATCATTTGGTTACTGAACGGCAATGGTGACCAACAGTACCCAATATTGAAGCACATTATTTCCGTACTTTGAAATCTAGGGTCTTTTTTCTTGTAAACTTAAACTTGAGGTGAGTGTTCCAGTACTGGAACAGTCAAGGTTACTTACAGGAATCCATAGCATATTCCGTCCAGCTAAAAAGTATCCTTGTACACTTTCCCGGTTCTTCCTACACATAGACTGAAATATAATATCACAGGAATAATGAATTTAAAACAGTGACTGAATCTTCAGTAACATCAAGACTCCGGAAGTCATCATCTAGAAATCTATATTTGAAATTAAGACTTAAAGTTTCTTCAGCAGAATTATCATAATATTCTAAAAGCATCTCTTGGACTTGGACGAACTTTATGATGTAGAATGCAATTCAATATCGGGCCCGATAATATCTGAATAACATCTACCTTAAGCATTTACAAAAAAGTAAGTCATGTACGCTCGTGCAAAAGGTGAAAAAAAAAATGGCAGGACAATTTGACGTTGCTTGTGTTGATAATGCAAATGTTATAGACTAAACAGGTGGTGTTCAGAAGATAAAAAAAAAACAGCGTTCAAATAATCTTTTTTTTGTAGAGGACTGATGCAGGTCTGATTTGAAAACAGCGGCAGGTCTCGAGTGGTACAATTCTTACAATATTCATCAGTCCACGAGTGATGGAAATTGCTATATGAGGGCTAATGTCCGAAAATTCTAAGCCAATTCAGAAGAATAGCTACATTTACTGACGTATTGATCGAGATTTCAGCTCAACTTGTGACTATCAAAATGTCTATGAACAGGGTTCATACAGCACTTTGCCACAAAAATTCAAAGACTTTTCAAGGACTCTGGGCTTTGAAATTCAAGGACTTTTTAAGGATATTAGTCTGACAGAATACACATGTACCTAACTGTGAAATCAATAAAGATAGTTTATATTTGTCAATGGGGTAAATGATAAAAATATACACAATTTGAGGACTTTTCAAGAGAAAATGGGTTTTCAAAGACTTTTTTGAAATCAAGGTTTTTCAAGGCAACGGACGGAATTCAAGGGTTTTTCAAGGCTGTGCGAACCCTGTGAGATGCAGAGTTATTCAATCCCATGGTCGCCGAAAACTGTTCAAACTGGTATAGAGACAAAATCAATACGAAGATATACTTTTGCTTTAAAATTGACATTTGCCATTTTTCACACATCACTAGCATTAGACCTCATGTCTTACTTTTTTTCATCAGAATTTGTCAAGGCTTCTGTTTTAAATCATGTTTTTTCCGATAAGATAATATTCTTTTCCTTTATGTGTTACTGTGTCATATGAAAACCTACCCATTTGATTATGCATAATCTTTGCCAAATGTACTAACTACGTTTTTAAAGATCGGTCATATTTTCATGCAACCTTTCTGGATTAGGATAGGACACCTTTTTTTCTTGACTGTATATGTTCTTCTTTAGAACTAACTTTCAAACCCAAGTTACAAATTAATTATCTTTTCTTTATCTCGTTTGGCGTGTCAGGTAACTTATGATAATGATTTCTTAGGTGTGGGATACACTCGAAGTCATTTTTCAAAATTATATAACTATTTTTTAACAGATTTATAATTTTGTCTTGCATTGAACCTTCGTGATGCATTTGAAAAATCAGATTTTTGTGTGTTAAATAAATTGTCCTACCACAAACTGCATAAAACATACACCATCAATTTTGACATACAACTCCGTTTGGCGAAATTTTACATCTGTACAACAAGGAGAAGGAATAGAACAGAATTTGAAAATCCTTACCATAACAACAACCCCAGAAAGAAATACAAAATAAACTGCGATCACAGTAATATCAATCCAATGTGAGATTCCTGCTTGGAGATACATATTGGTAGATGTATGAGCACAAAACAACTATCCCTGGGTTCAATGTATTGAATTAAAATCCAGCAATAACTGTCACGAAGGTTATTGTAAAATATAGGTTAATATGCTGGCTTCGAGTGTCCATTGAATATATGAATTAATAACACATTGTAAACAAAGCATATTATTATATTTAATATTATCTTAAATGAAATTCAGCCCATCATCTTATCAGCTAATATTAAGGTCAAAGTGTAAGCAATACTTATACAGTTTACTATTATTTAAATAGTTTACTATGTAAATTATTGCATGATATCCCAATAATTCATACTGTTTTGAATAAACTTGACTTAAATTCGGTTTAAATTTGGTCTACGATGCCTTGACAATATTGGCCTTATCCATTTTTTTCACGCATAGATAATTTACTATGACGGCGTTATACTGATATTTAAAATAGTATTACTGTATATTATAATACGAATACTTCCATGAACGGACTAATACATTTAGACTTGGGGTACTGAATGTTTTAATGTTACAATACCAGAAGATATGATTTGGTTCAATGCGAACTGATTATTACCGCGTGATTTGCAACATAGAGTTTATAAGGCGATCATGAATGTCATATTATGCGCTTGAGCTAATACACACAGTGAACGCCATATGCGCTTGAGCTAATACACACAGTGAACGCCATATGCGCTTGAGCTAATACACACAGTGAACGTCATATGCGCTTGAGCTAATACACACAGTGAACGTCATATACGCTTGAGCTAATACACACAGTGAACGCTATTATGCGCTTGAGCTAATACACACAGTGAATGCCATATACGCTTGAGCTAATACACACAGTGAACGTCATATACGCTTGAGCTAATACACACAGTGAACGCCATATGCGCTTGAGCTTATATACACAGTGAACGTCATATACGCTTGAGCTAATACACACAGGGAACGCCATATGCTCATGAGCTAATACACACAGTGAACGCCATATGCTCATGAGCTAATACACACAGCGCACTCGGCGCTATGCAGCGTTTGTCCTTCAGGTGTCTGAGATATTACAATCCATAGTTACTCAACGAGAGTCCAGTTGAAACACGGGAAAGGACTATAATTGAATCAATTATTGTGGCTTTACTAAGGGTCGTTGGTATGGTCTGGATTCTGAATGTACTTGCCCTTTGAAACGCAGTTTCTGCAATAACATGGTGTCATGTTTGTCGTGCAAGATTCTATAGGAGTAGAAAAAGGCTTTATTCAAAAATGACACAATCTGAGGATCCACAATCTATGGGCGGTTCTCATGTGGATTTGAATTATAGTAGGGTGGTTTGAACAACCCATATCCACAAGCATTCCTACCTTTGATATGTCATCTCCCTGTTGCCCTCTTCGAAAAAGGGTTAAATGAAAGCATGAATAACAAGACTGTCCAGTACAATACAGCTGGCATATTTCTTCTTCAATTACTGATAATACAATACATTTGTAAAATTGAAAAACCATAAATGAATATTTTTGTATCTGATTGAGGATTTAATTTAATTAAGTGGCAACTTAATGACTCGAGAAAAACTAGGCATCGTAATTTAATATCTGCCTGCTTTCAATAAAGCAAAGATAATTACAAGCGTTCCATAATTTTTTTTTATATACTGAACGAACGAGTCATATTAAATGATAACAAAACGTTGTGAAAGCATTTTAACTACACAGACAACTGAACGCGAGGCAGATGGGTTTTATGTCAAAACAAGAGACCTACTCATATTGTTATTATGTGGTTTGTGTGTTTGCGCAATGCTATACACACTACTTCTGCTAGGCGTTTAAACCGAATACAATCAGCTTCTTTGAAGTGGCCTTAGTTCAATCTAAGCAACACATATACAAGCGATTGGTAATTCTGACTGAGTTGTACCATCCAAAGGTAAATGAAGGGACGACAAAAACGTTGTGTGAAAACAGTTTTATTGAGAATCGCTCACTAGAGTAATCTCCTATCTATTAGTAATTGTTAAAGGCCGCAACCTAAAACGACAATTCACGGCGCCTTAAAGATGGATTCCCTTTTTTCATTTATGAAAAGTAAGAAAATGCTAATACTGATTTCCCAAATCACCATTTATAGATTCTTTGTCGTGAACACAGTACAATGGTACATATAGGAAGATCAAAGACTACCATTACAATTATTTCAAAATATTCTTTCATTCATTAAATCCCGTCTAAAATCGTCGAGAAATGAAACATTCTTTGTACCGAAAACCCTCGTTTGAGAGTAATTCCTTGCAGACTTATATGATTAAGAATACATGATAATTCATTAGAAACGCCAATTAATAAAATAGTTTGCTTAATTTGACACTACAAAATAAGGAAACCCGTCTTTAAAACACTGCGTAAACCAGTCTTTGATTTAGTTATTTACCTAGTGTTTGATTTGAGTTATATCCCATTAGTAAGACATCCCATTACTCAGATATCCAAATTAAGGGAAGGTTTGCTATTAAGGCATGGTTTGATACAGCCATTGTTTGATTTAAATTATTTAAACAATGTTTGATTATAGTGATATAGACAGTGTTTGATTTTAGTCAGCCAGTGCAGTGCTAGATTTTAGTTACTTAGCCACTGTTTGTTTTTAATTATTTAACCAGTGTTTGATTGCAAGTAATTATCAGTGTTAAATTTTACATGCTAAGCCAGTGTTTGATTTTAGTTATTATTCTGTTTATCTCTTGAGGCTTTGAGGAAACAAAGAAATCATTAATGTCTTGTAGGTCATTTCTGTTCCTTTGTCTCAATTAAGGCATTTTCACAATTAGATGTCAGAAATAGTACTAATATGAAATACCCCAGGCCATTAAGAGCCATTACTGATTTCCCAAATCACCATTTACAGATTCTTTGTCGTGAACACAGTACAATGGTACATATAAGAAGATCAAAGACTACCAGTACAATTATTTCAAAATATTCTTTCATTCATTGCATCCCGTCTAAAATCATCGAGAAACATAACATTCTTTGAACCGAAACCCTCGTTTGAGAGTAATTTCTTGCAGACTTATGTAGGTTTTTATGTGTGACATCTTCAGACACATGTAACGTTTTTTTACAACTACATCTAGGCAAATACGTAATCTTAGGATCCATACAATCTGACTAAAGACATAAGCAAAAAGGTTAAATCAATATTATGATAAATGGAATGGTAAAATAAATTCTTATATGAATACCCACCTTTTCGAATCAAGTTTGGAAACGATCTATAGGAGAGCACGTCTACTCACAACTTTGACTGGACAGTAATGAGTAAAAATATTGACTGCTTTGATATGCTCTTGAAATAAAAAAAAGAAAACATATTGTCTGAGCATGTTCGTTGGTATATCGAATTTTGTCCATTTTACAACAGTAAATTAATTGATTAAAAGTTTCAGAACAGTACTGATAATCTAAGAATGACTTTGCGCTGATTAAACTATAAACATGAGCACAAACCGTTAGACTATGAAGCTAATACTCGCAATGGAACACATTCATTCATCATCAGAAACAAACGTTAATCCATATTTATTAAAAATATACAAATCTATTACAATTATATACTAGAGCCACACGTGGCACAGAGTGGGACTTTGCAAATGTAGCAAATTGCAAAAGACTCTGAAAAAATCAACCTTCTACGATAATTACATCACGCGCAAGAGCAGTCTAAAGTTGAGAAGAATTCTTTGGAAGATTGTTATAACGGAAGTAGACAGACCTCACAAATGAAAGTATCAGAAGATAGCCAAGGTCAATGACATTTAACATTGAAAGGGAGAGGGTCAACAAAGGTCAAGGTTACGAGATACAAGTCATCAAAATTTTTAAATATATACGGCTATAAAACCGGAAGTTGAGATAGGACAGCAAATATAAAAGTATAAATAGATAACCAATTTGAATGACCTTTGATCCTACAAAAATCAGGATCAAAAAAGGTCAAGGTCAAAAATTGAAAATTTTGAATTTTCAAAACCTGTTCCTTTTTTTGAACTATAAAGCTGAAACAATCGAACTTCTAAGACAACGTGGCTCAACGGATGAAGTAATTGTATGCAAAGTTCCATTTTGAACAAATGTATACGTTGCGAGTTAAGTCCCTTGTCAAAATTGTCAATAATGAGTAATTTAACCCGGATGTGCTACGCCCACCTTAATTTCTTTTGCATAGGTTAATTGATATTCTGATT